AGAATTATGTCATATATTATCAAGCAGGTTTGTACAATTCTGGGAAGGAGGGGGTCTGGGAAGAGTAGGTAGAGTTGAAAATGTCCTTGACTGCGCCAGTCTTCCTGCAAACATGCCAGCCTGGCATTGAAGCCCTTGAAGCAAGTTGGAATCACCGCATATTTTTAAAACACAAGCAGGACACAGTCAGTTTGACCCGTGCATTGTTAAGGGGGAACATTTGGGCCTAGACGGTCAAGGTTAGCTCCACGACAGGCACCATGTGCATAGTCACAGGCTAGGAAGTGATGTCTAACTTGCTATAATATGCCTACAAGCCTGCTATTCTGAAGTGTGCCCTAACAATGCCACTGTCAGGGCTGAGCACCACTGGCTAACACCGCCAGTTCTTGGTCTCTTCCGATGCTGACTGCTGTTGGTCAGTGCTGGGCTCCATCACTAGTCTCCAGAGCTCTTCAGGAATAGAGCTCCCTAGTGTTTATAGCTCTTTAAAAAAAACCAACCAACTTCTTTGCTCACACTACACAGGATACAGGTAGAGCCCACACCATTCCAGAGATAAATCATGAATGGATTTACAGGATCACTCCAGGGAGGCTTTATTTGGACACAGCCTGTGCTGCGGCTCACCAGGGAGGCCCTCTGGACCTACACCAACCAGAGGAGCAGGCAGAGTACTGCTTATATAGCAGCAGCAGGCCTGTGATTGATCCTAATTTGAACCTGTGATTGGTCCAAATTCAAGCTTGTGATGGGTCCAAACTTGGAGCTTGCCATTAGGCCTAAATTGATGTGAGTTCAAGCCTCCTGATTCAAGCTTACTGACTGGCCCCAGTTCAAATCTGCTGCTTGGTTCAGATTCAAGCCCTGAGTTCAAGGCAAACACTTTCTAGGTGGGGTACAGGTAACTTGCAGCTATCATGGTAGCAGTTCTCAGAAATTAATATTATTTCTTAATAACTGCAATGTCTCTGGGAAAATAGCCAGGCTTAAACCAGGGACAACTCTCCAGGTCTGGCTGTGTTCATCATGCCTTCTTGGGGTTAGGGATGTTAATAATGGACCCAGATCCTTCCCTGGGGAGGAGGACAACTGTATGTCCTATCTGGACAGCCAGGAGAGCAGCTGCCAAGTCACGTTATGGGTAGTGGAAGGACACAGGCATGGTCCCTGTCCATCCTCAGGGGACCAAAAGGGGGGGTATGACAACCGTTGACAAAAGTCACATTGAAACAGTGGAGAGGCAGGTACTTCTTGTGTTTCATAGCACAGACCCAGCATTACTCTGTCCAGGAGTTGGCTAGCTCCCAGGCAGAGGCTGGAGTCCTTCTAGGTTTCTATAGCCCCAGATGTCAAAAAAGACTATTTTAACAGAATAAAAAGGCACCCTCCATATAGACCCATAGGAGACTTCCCCTTGGGGCCTGGGCTTCCCTGCAACATGGGGGCTGGGCCAAGGCTGAGGTCTCAAGACAAAGAGTGAGCCAGGCAGGAGACACTGTACCTTTATGACCCAAACTTGGAAGTCACTGTCATCATTTCTACTGTCTTCTGTGGGGAAAGCAGCTAAACAGTTTCTTCTATGCCCAAGGGGAGGGAAAGTAGGCCCACCTTCCCCACAACCAAGGCAGGGGAGCCCACACAACAGGGTAAGAAGACTGTCGGGTGTCGGGTGGGTTACCCATTGGTGCAGCTGTCCTTGACAGCAGCTGTCTGCTATAAACTCCACCACCCGGAAGTAGCCACTGTTAGTACTTTTACCTATTTGTCGGTGCATTTTATTTTAATTGATTAATAATAATTTGTGTTTATTTTAATTTAAATTGAAATAAAATAAAATTATATAAAATTATAAAAATTTTATAAAAATAAATGTTATACTTATCATGTAAACAATATTTTGAAATAGATATACATTGTGGAATGACTCAAAGTAATAAAGATAATCATTAAGTCACATGCTTTTTTATGAGATTACATTTCTTTTTTTTTATGTTTTCTTTGGTTTAGAGATTACATTTCTTTTTTCAAAAAAACATGTCTTAGGCTGGGCTTGGTGGCATGGACCTGTAATGCCAGCACTTGGGAGGCTGAAGCAGGAGGGCTGCTGTGAGTCCAAGGCCACCTTGGGCTACCTAGTGAGTTTAAGTGGCAGTCTGAACTACATAGTGAAGCCCTGTCTCAAAAAAAAAAAAAATAAATCTTTGTTGAGATTAATTTGCATACTCTATACTGTACATTACTTACTAGTACACAATTCAAGGGTTTTAGTGTATTTATAGAATTGTTTAGCTATCACAGATAATTTGAGAACATTTTTATTAACCCCCAAAGAAACTCTGAACTCCTCAGACATCACTCCTTCATCCCGCCTCTTCAGTGCAGCCCCGCCAAAACTGCTTAACTGTTTTGCTTCTCTACATGTGCCTATCCTAAATCGCTAAATGAAAGAAATCACCCAACATGTGTCCTTTTGTGTCTGGCTCTCTTGGCGCTGCGCATTTTCAGGATCCATCTGTGTCACCATGTGTATCAGTACTTGATTAGTTTTTGTGGCCAAATTGTATCCCATTGTACTCACGTCACATTTTTGTGCATCCCTTTGACACTGATGGATAAGTGGGTTATTTCCACTTCTTGGCTATGGTGAGTAGTGCTGCATGAATGTTCCTGGACAAGCTTTTTGTGTGCGACTATGTCTTCATTTCTCTTGGGACTTACCCTAGGAGTGGAATTGCTAGCTCCTATGGGGACTCTATGTTCTGCCAGTTTTCCAGACATCCCCACAATAGTTTGAGACGGTTGTGGTTTCTCCACATCCTCACTGACACGGAGCACATCTTTTTGAATGGACTTGCACAGGAGAGAAGCAATCTGCTATTAACTATGTTTGGTGAATTTGCATAAGACCATGGACTGCTCCTGGCTTTGGTTCCACACTAACAAAGTTGGACACTGGATTAAACTTGGGCTCTTACACTTCTTGGGGTCTTGCAAAAAGACCTCTACCTGGGCAGAGCTCTTCACCCCAAACTTTAGCAAAAGGCCAAATGATAATGTTTTAGGCCTTTGGGTTGCAGAGTCTCTCTCTGTTGCATGAAAAAAGTTGGACAATGTGGAAATAAAACAGTGAAACTATGTGCCAATAGAATTTCATTTACAAAAACAGATAGCAACCCAGATCTGTCCTTCTGGCTATAGTCTGTCAACTTCTGCCAAAGAGGGCTTCAGGGAGCCTGAGAGATGGGCCTGCCTGGTCATGGGGAAGGAGACCTCAGGAGGAAAATCTAGGCTCTCCTACTGGCTCTGATAATTGTTTATTTTATTATCATTGTTCATGTGAAGCAGAATTGAAAGATGAGATGTAACCAAAATGTATGATGTGTGTTTGAATTTAAAAATCATCACAATAAAAACACATTGGCACCAATGCCCCTCAAAACTCTCCCCATCACTTTGAATACATATTTATTGTGGCATTCTTGCCACTTTCTGAGGCAGCTCTGGACACCCTTTTTTCTGAGTGTTTTGCACTGTCGCCATTGCCTTAGTGTCCTGAATCAGTTCTAAACTTTGCTGTACACTGATCATTTCGAGCTTGGGGAAGATCCAGAAGTCACACAGAGCCAGATTTGGTGAATAACTTGCATGAGGGATCACTGTCATGTGTTTACAAGCCTGCCTTTCTGTTGGGTGGCACTTGGCACCAGCATTCACTGTAGGTTTGACTGAAAGAACACTTTCAGAACTGCTGCAGGAAGGGGTAAGAATGGTAAGTGTGTTTGAAGCGAATGAAAGGACTTGGAGAAGAACTTGTGGCAATATGTCTTTTACTGTAGCAAATATTTATTTAAACACTTTTTAAAAAATCAATCTTTGCATTTATTGTTCAGCAGGGAGGTGGGCATTCATGAGACTCCTGTAAGGATTCATGGCAGTATTATTTTACATAAGCCAAACCTTGGCTCAGTTGTCAACAATCTGACTTCTCTGAGCCCATTTTCTCATCTGAGTCAAGAGTAACATGTGCTTCATAGTATTGATGTAAGCACTGAAGGCCCTGGCAAAAGGCCCAGCATAGTGTAGGCAGTACACACAGGTCGATCCCTCTTTTCCCCCTTTGAACATCACTATAAAATATTACACTCCCAATAGCTGTGAATGAAGTATGCAACTCAGGCTTGAATTCTGATTTTGGAATTAGAGGCCATGTGATACTCCAGGTCTGAAAGCCCCTGCCTGTACAAAGCAAGTAAACTTCAGCCCAGCTGTTAAGGAGTTGTTTGTTTTTTATGTTTTCGGTACTGAGGAGTGAACCCAGGGCCTCCTTACTGAGTTCATTCCCAGCACTCTTTTCTATTTTGAGGCAGGATGTCACTAGGTTTCTTGCCCAGTGGGACTTGAACTTGTGATCCTCTTGTCTTAGGTTCCCAAAGTGCTAGGATTACAAGACTTTAGTTTCTTTTTGTGTGTGTGTATTATTATTATTTTTTAAAAAAGAAAACAAGTTACAAGGGAGGGCAGTTAGTCCAAAATTCCAGAGCCAACTTGGCCCTGTTTTGCCGGGTTTAGAACCGACATGCGACCATGTGATTTGTTTTTCGAAGCTCTAGCCCCTGGGTGAGGGACAGAACTCTCTATCCTTGTTCCCTTTCGATGACTTAGATGCTCATATCGTGGTGCACAATCATGCAGTCACCTATATCTTCCACTCTCTGGGCTACCAAAAGATGAAAACCGGAAACACAGGCCACGCTACCTCAGAGCCTTGAGCTGACACGTGCGGCCTGGATTTGGAACCAGCCTCGCCCCTCCACCTAGGCCCCACCCCCTCGGAGCGCCATTTTTGCCTATTGGGCATCCAAGTGCCCCTCCTAGCCACGCCTTCCACGAGACCCCTCCCCCTGAAGCCCCTCCCCGTCGAGGCCCCGCCCCTGCCGTTGCGCGGCCGGCAGGAGGCGCCGCGGCGCGCGCTGATCTCGGGCATCGGCTAACGGCGGGCGTGGGAGCCGCGCGGGAAGGCGGCAGCTACGGCTGGCTGCGCTGGAGGTGAGTGTGGGACGCGTGAGGAGGGGCGGCGGATGCGAGAGTTGCCCGGGCGGGGCTGCTTGGCGGCTTCGGGGTCCCGGGTCTCGGAGGCTGCGGCCAGGGGGCGGTGGAGCGCGCGCGCGAGGCCGCGGGGCCGCGCGGGGCGTTTCCCCCGTGGTGCACACGGGGAAGGCGGGGGGGGGCCGGCTTGTTCGGTTGCCATGGAAACCGGCGTGCTCTTGGGCCCTAGGGGCAGCCCCTGAAGGCCTAAGATCCGGAGCGGACAGGCCCGCAGGACTTCCCAGGCTCGATCCTGGGTCCGCCCCTTGCTCCAGGGACTCCTGGACTTCAGTTTCCCTGGCTGGGTCTTGAAGGGGCCTCCTGGCGCGCGACGTCCCGCGCTTTCCCACCACCCGCCCGCCCCGCAGCACGTTCTCCACTTGTGCGCCCGTGACAGGCATTGTTTCCCAGCTATTTCTGTCCCACTTCCAGCCCCCCGACAGAGACTGCGTCTCGGGAGACAGATGCTGCGCTGGAGCTCTAGCCGTAAGGCGGACCGGCTCCTGTCCCAGGGGAGCCAGTGGGTGGGGCCTTGGCGGGCTGCAGAACTGCCTGCCCAGCCCCTGTCTCCTGTCAAGTGTTTGATTAATCTGAATTGCCAAAAAGAATTTGATTACAGGTGCCACCTCTGGTGCATTCCAGAGGGGAGCCAGCCTTCAACCCCGCTGGGAGTCTGTCCCTTTTCCAGAAACCAATCTGGCAGGATGACACCTGACTGAATTATGTTTGCATGCAATGCTAGGTTCTGGCTGGAGCTGCAAAGTTAGGATTTAGGGAAGAGGGGCATAAAGCACAGTGTACGTGGTCTGCTAATCCGCTTTCCCTGCTGCTGGAATGATAATGGGTTCCACATTGTCCTGTTGGAACGGAGCAGTGTCCCTCCACCCATGTCAGCATGCACTGACCACTCCCTGCCCCGGAGCTGTGACTTGAGCTTGTTTTTCTTCAAACATGGGGACTAACATTTGCTACAGCAAGTGCCCTGCTCCCTGGCTGTTTGGCCTGGAGGGTTCCCCAAAGTGTTTGTGTGACAGAATGAAAATTGAACAGAAAAGGAAAAGGCAGGTCACACTTCCCAGAAAAAAAAACAAAACAAAACAAAACACCAACAGATCTGATTACTCTGGTTACCCAGGATGTGTTCTGTTCCGTAGTTTTTTTTTTTTTTTTTTTTCTTTTCTCCCACTTCTTGCCTTTTAAGAACCAAACCTGTTTGGACAAACAGGCTGTATGCTGCATTCTGCATTTAAGGAAGAAGGTAATCCAACTGCAGGTGGCGCTGGTCACAGGCATCTATGGCCATAGGGAGGATGACCATTGAGGAAGAAGACTTCCTGAAAATCCCAAAGTAGATAAGGTTGGGAGTTCATAGGGGTGAAGGAGTTGGGAAGGAATGAGTCACTGCTTTCCACTTACATGGTCTCCTTGCTTTGCATGGTTTTCCTGACTCTGCTTCAGAATCTGGCACCAGGGGCAGCTAGAAAGGAGGGAGGGGTGCTACTAAAGTTCAAATACCACAGCCCCTCACTTGGGAGGGGACCTGGTGGTTACGTATTTGTAATTTTCCACTTGTTTCTTATTAAAGCAGAACTGTGAGAGTATCAAACCTTACCGAACCTACATCAGACGATACAAGGTGCTCATCGCTTCTCCATGTGACTTTGTGGCTTTCCTTCCACCTAAGGAATGTTTTCTGCAGCTTTTGACATTGTGTTTCCATTTACCTTCAGACTCCATCTCTCGAGACAGAGGCTTTCTGTGTTGTCCCCCACTTTGGACTAGGCTCTGGACCTTGGGGAACCTCTGTCCAGGGAGAGGTCCCTTGGACTTGAGGGAGACCAGTTAGGCCCGTTGTCTTTGGAGGTCAGGTTCCCTTAAGAGCGTGTGCTGGCTTCTGAGTAAGGGTTTCTCTAGAGGCAGGGTTGTGCAGCCCTCAGGGATGGTCTAGAGGGTTGACTTGTGAGGCATTGGTCTCTGATCTCAGGTTCCCTTTAGGGACAGATTTGAAGCTGCCAGTATGTGCAGATGCAAAGCTGGCAGTCTGTGATGTAAATGTTTTCTGAAAATGCTTTTATTGTTACTTAAGTGAGGGATCCATAATGTGGAGCCACCAGCAGCTCTGGGCTTCTTGGGATTTGACAAGGAGACTTCTCATATGTTCCTCCAGGGAGGAGAAACTGCAAAACTTGTTGAACTTGCGAGTGCCTTTTGTGACCAGTAGCTGGAACCTCTGGGACAGCCACCGTTTGAATGCAGATTTAAGTTTGCAGAAAGCTAGTACAGGATGAAAGGCTTTGCAGTGATATATCCTAAGCAGTAGGTTGTAGGGACAGATGGATGACCTGCCATCTAGTGGGACAGGTGTTAGTGTCAGGAACCCAGGCTTCTATGTGTGAAGTTTTAAAGGAGCTGGGAGTCCTCACGGAATGCTTGGCAGTGACAGGCTTGTAACTGGGAACAGCATGGTGGCCTGCTGGTTTGCTTCATTCATGAGTGGCTTGGTGGCAGTGAGAGCTCAGGGACAGGAAGCAGTGGGCAGTAAGAAGATACCCATATCATGGTATCACCTGTGGGGGTCTGGGCAGTCACATTCCTGGGTACACTGAGGATCCCTACACAGCCACCAGCCTTCCTCCTAGCAGTTTCCAGCACCCATAGAACTGTGAATGAGCTGAGGTTGGGGTATAAATTGATTGCAGTACAGTTGGCTGACTAGAGTCACAGTGGCAGGTGCCCTTGCTGCCTTCAGTGGGTCTCAGGCACTCTTCACAGAGCTTTCTATAATATAGGTTCTTCTTTTGACTCATTTATCAGTCTTTGTGGAGGAATATGAATACAGAAGGCATAAGTCACCCAGAAATGTGTGCACAGCTTCTCCCTGTGCCTAACCTTGCAGCACAACCTCAGGAACCTGGCCCTGCTCTCAGCTGACCTGACCTCCTCGGGCGCATGAGGGAGACCCACAGATAATCTCCACCTATAAACCCTGTCGAGTGCTTAGAGAACTGGGATTAGGATTCTGCAACACATTAAAGCTTCACAGGGCCATTTCCCTCTCCTAGTGAGTCCATATCTCCAGGGCTAGATGTGGTGGGTGGAATGCACACATTCCAGACATGCCTCCCCCAGTCCTCAGCAGCTACAAGGACACCCTGAACTGGGTCCCAGGGAGGTGTCTCCTTCACACTGTTAGCAGCCTCTTCTGCCAGGTTATGAAGGAGCAGCACTTTCTTGGGGTTGCTGGCTGCAGTTTGCCACTTCCCAAGCTCTCCATGTGCATGTGCACCCGTGTGTGTGTGTGTGTGTGTGTGTGTGTGTGTGTGTGTTAGGTCTCACTATGTAGTTCAGTCTGGTCTTGAACTCACTGTGTAACCCAGGTTGGTCTCAAACTCACAGCAATCCTTCTGCCTCAGCCTCCTAAGTGCTGGAATTATGGGTGTATATCATGCCCTACTCCCTACTTATTTGTTATGGTTTTGTACTCACAGAGAGCCAAACTGGGGCCCTACTTGTTTGCCCCTTTTTCCTGGCTGTCATGGTACCAGATGGTGGGCCTGCTGGGACAATCTCTGCTGTGATTCTGCAGTACCTATCTGTACTCTGCTGTCAGCCTCAGTTCCCTGTGCACTGTGGCCAGCACTTCCCAGAACTGCAGCCTGGGACGAGGGGACCTAGTCATGTTTCCAAGTAGTAGCCTGCTCTGAAGGCATGTCAGCCGTCCCAGCAGTCTACAGCCCAGTCCTCAGCTTATGTGCTCCCACTTGAGGTGCTCTGTGTGCTGGGCTCCGACACGAGCCCATCTGTGGCTGTCCCACCTGTTGGATGAGTCTTACCTCTCCACTCTTAGTGCTAACCCATTTTATTCTGTCCTCCAGATCCCACTCTCCCCACACTTTGGCTGACATCCTCGGCCCTCATCTCTGAAGAACTGCCCACCATGTTTTATGGGACTCACTTTGTCATGTCTCCACCCACCAAGAGCAAGCTGAAGCGACAGGGCCAGCTGCTGTCCAACATGCTGTCCCGGACACTGAGCCACAAGTACCGGGACCTGGACTCTACCCCATGCAGCCTGGGTGCCAGTGATGACCCTGCAGAACTGTCCACCCAGCTTTCAGCTCCTGGAGTCCTGAAGGTGTTTGGGGACAATGTGTGCACAGGCACCCACTACAAGAGTGTCCTGGCCACTGGCATGTCCAGCGCCCGGGAGCTGGTGAAGGAAGCCCTGGAGCGCTATGCCCTGGACCCCAAATGTGCTGGCCAGTACGTGCTGTGTGATGTCGTGGGTCAGGCTGGGGACCCTGGACAGCGGTGGCAGGCCCAGTGCTTTCGGGTGTTTGGGGACAATGAGAAGCCCCTCTTGATTCAGGAGCTGTGGAAACCCCGAGAAGGTTTGTCCAGGAGGTTTGAACTGAGAAAGAGGTCAGATGTAGAAGAGCTGGCTGCCAAAGATGTGGATACCATCACGGCAGGTAAGGGAGAGGCCATGGGGCAAGGGCAGGGAGGTGGACAGGAGCAGAGAACAGGGAGTAGAGGAGTAAATGGGTAGACATTTTCTTGGGAAGAGGTGAGTGGAGTCTGCTGTGAACCTGAGAAAGCTTATTTGTCCACTACTTTGCTTTCAGTGGCTTGAACACAGTAGTTTGTCAGACTGGTGGTGCCCTGTGGTAGCTCCCAATGGCTTTGGCAGTGTTTTAGGCCCAGTCCACCCATCTGTTTGATTGGGTCATTGTCTAGCCTTTGTTATACATTGCCTGCATTGTCACATATGCCTCACAGAACTCTTCAGACCTGGTTAGAATCCCAGGGGACAGGGCAGTCAGAGCCTCATACCCTCCTGGTATTGCCAGGTTGTAGGGTCTGTAGCAGTGGGGCTGTGCAGATTGTGCAGGTGATTTGCAGGGGTCTGTGGAGCTGAGGCAGTCAGAGGCCTTTCTTGGTTGAGTCCCAGCCTGTAGGCATACTGTCCGAGAGAGCCAGAAGTAGGGGCTTTGCTTGCTTACCCTTGGACCTGAGGACCCAGTGGCCTTGGCCCAGTGCTTGAGTCTTGGTGATAATTTAGTTGATGAAAAGTGACTAATAGATGCCAGAAAAATAACTTTTTCAAATACCAAAAGATCATAAGCATGTTTTAGATCAGGCTTATTTTACTTTACTGTCTTACATAAGCTGTGGCCCTGACCCATTGTCCACAGAAGGACACCTTGCAGCTCACTGAGACTTAGCACTCAGTTTTGTGGTATTTCAGATAGAGAGCCCTTGCTCTGGCCCTTGCTAACATTCTGGGCACCTCCTCAAGGGGTTGTGACCACTTACTTTGTCCAGCTCTGCTTCCTCAAGAGCCTTTTTACCTGGGGTATGGCGTGTGAGACAGGGATGTGGGGTAGCTGTGGGACCCAGCCTGACCAGTCTGGGTCCTGGTCTGGAGCACAGGGTGACACTGCAGAGCCATGAAGGTTTAGTAAAGCTGCATGTACTTGATGCTGCTGGGGTGCTCAGTGAGTTGGGCGAGGGGCAAGGTCCTTGTGGTGGGACTCTTCTGTCATTGGCATCATTCAGAATTGCAAGCAGTGACTAAGGGTGCTGAGTCTTGGCAGATAAGCGCTTCTCTGCTTGTCTGCAGCAGAGTCCCCTTTTGCTCTACAGGCCACTGTTTACAGGGCTCCATTTTTGTCCTCATCCTGCCTTGAAGTGATCCAGAGGACTTTTGTCCCTTGATATCTCATTCCAAAAGACCTGGTGTGGGGAAGAGGTGGGAGGTGGAGGCCCTGCAGTGCTACATGGAGACAAAGGACCCTTGATAAAGGAGGTAGCATTTCAGTCATTCTCTTGCTCGGCTTTTCTTCCTCCCCTAAGTGGGCAGCAAAGAGCAGGCTGGATCAGGCCACTGTAGGGACCAGCAGCGCCTATTGTGAGGTCAGTGTGCTGTGTCACCTGGGTGAGGCAGACTTGGAAAGCCCGGACTGTTCGCACAGTGGCTACTAGCCTGTGGGGAACAGCAGGGGCCAGTGCAGGTTGCAGGATGCTGAAGTTTGCTCTGCTCATCGCCCTAAAGCTGCTCTTTTTACACAAGTGAAGGCCAAAGGAAGTGCCACAGCTGCAACCTCTTAACCCTGATGGCTTTTCAAGCCCTCCCAATAAAGAGCCCATTGAGCTGGCCAGTCTGTATGACCTATTTGTTGGGTGACAGCAGGTTGCATTACCTGCCCAGCAGGTCCAGGCCCAGGCCCCAGGACATCCTCTCTGGCTGGCCGTTTCTGGGTGTTGCCTGGGCACCTAGTGCTTATAAGCTCAGTGCATGGTTGCAACTTCCAGTCCTCTGCTTTGGGCAGAAAGGGGCCCTGGAGGGCCAGGAATAGAAAAGCAGACTCAGTGTGGCCAGAGCATAGGAGATCCACAAACACCAGGGACGAGTTCTGCCCTTGACAACAGGGGTGGGCCTGACTTAGAGCCATACCCCAGGGCTCTGACCTATGCCTGGCAATCCCTACAGTGAAGACACCAGAATACCTGGTGCATGTGTACACAAACATGCGTGCACATAGTGGTGTACACAAACATGCATGCACATAGTGATGTACTCAGCTGTTCCCTGGGAAAGAGCCCAGTGAAGCCCTCAGTGGCATGGAGGTGGCCACTCCACGCATTCTCTCAACCCCTTCCCATGCTCTCTGGGAATTCAGGATACAGAGGAGGGAGCCACTGTGGCTGGTTTTGTGCCTCCTGAGGGCCTCCCTGAGGCTCAGTGTCACCTCGCTATCAGGTGTCTAGGGGAACAGCATAGGACAGAGAGTACCTGGCCCTGAAGGAGGGGACAGGGGCTGCCCACCGTGGCTGCATGGTAACCATGAGCCTTAAGTAGAAGGTGGGGGTCACTCCCTATCCCTGCTACACTGCTCCGTTGTGTCTGGCCCTGTTCTCAGCCTCTTTGACTGCAAGGATATTGCATGCCCACTTGTCCTGAGGGAGCCCTAGTGCAGGCCTACATGCTGTTGGTGCTTGGTGGTGGCACTTGCTGCTGTGAAGTGAATTTTCACAGCAAGTGGATGCTCTGTTTTTCAGGAAGATGGAAATTGGGCTGACATTGGACATCTGTAGGGCAGGCCAGGGAGGACCACAAAAGGCCTGGTGCAACTTCCCCTTTATCTTCTCTGAGGGATGGCCTGAGGCTCCCATTCCCCCAGTGAGGGAATGGTCACATCTCTTTGGCAAAGGTGGGAGACCTGTGAGTACTCACATGTACATCGTGTGTGTGCGCATTTATGTGTGTGTACACATAAACACACATACATACCCCTGGCTTCATGCTCTGGGGTACCATAACCCAGAGGCTTCTTGTCCAGTTCTCTTTCCTATCTCAGCAGGCCTTATACTGATACTGCCTGGTTCCCACCTTAGAAAGCTGAGGCTGGTACAGGAAGGGGGAGAGGGCTGGTGGCTGCTGAGTGGCCAGCTCCAGTGGACCCAACTGATGACAGCCACCCAGTGTCTCAGGAACTGTTCAACTGTGTCTCTGCACCATTGTCCTGCACTTTTGTGTTTAGTTTTCTGTGAACATGGCCCTTCCCATGCTGCTAGATTCCCTGCTTTCCACACTGTGCTGAAGGGAGGTGACAGGGAAGCGGTGCTGGCTGGAAAGTAGCCCTCAGTAGTTTCCTTGTGGCTGGGATTTAAGGCCCATTCCATGTGGAGAGACCTGGTTCCTGTCACTGAGATAAAAAAACGACAGTCACTCTCACTGTGGGGAGGGTGACAGCAGGGCCATGTGGTTTTTGTCAGGGGCTAGGAACAGGTGAGAGAGGGAGTGTGTATTGCTCCCGAGCAGTGTGCTGGGCTCCGGGAGGCCTGTCAACTTCCTCCCCTCCCTGAGGTGAGTGAGAGAGATTTTTTGAACTGGCTGCTCCCCATCTCACTGATGGTTTGTACTGGACACCCCAGCTGTGAGAGACACCCTGCACCTTGGAGCAGTGTCTGGTCCCCAGACGTCTGAGCTCCAGATATAGCTTCCTCATGTGTCCAGGACATTGCCACATCCACTGGGGAGGACTGCCCACTGGACTCAGCCCAGATGAATGCAGTTGGCGCCCCATACCCAGCACCTGTGTGCACCTGCGGCCGTCAGACCTGCCCTGATGGCCCTGCAGCCTCACTGGTCTCTCCTACGTGTCTTTCTGGGGGATTGGGGCCTCGCAGACCTCACACTCAGAGAGAGGATAGTACAGATTGCAACTGTATTGATGGGCATCTTGTGGCCTTCAGAGGCTCCACCCTGGTACCTTCTGAGGAAGGGTCAGTTTGCTTTGGCTATCTTCTTTGTAAAAAGGCAAGTGTAATGCAGGGTATGGTGACACACACCATGTTGCTCACAGCCAGTGTCACAGCATTTTGGGAGGCTGAGGTGGGAAGATCACAAGTTGGAGCAAAGCCTGGACAACTTAGCAATTTATCAAAACCCTGTCGCAATGGAAAGAAAAGAATTAAAAAGGGCTGGGACTGGGGAGATGGCTCAGTGGAATAAGTGCTTCCTTGGCAAGCAAAAGGGTCTGAGTTCAATCCCTGGTTCTGCCAAAAAAAAATTATGACTTGAAAAAGGGCTGGGAATATAGCTCAGTACAAAACCCTGGGTTCAGTACCCTGTTCCTCCACCCCAACACACACACACACACACACACACACACACACACGCACGCATACAGTAAGTATACAGAACTTTTAAGGTACCTGAAATTTGAGGCTAAACAAAGGCTCAGGATGTTGTGGCAGTTGTTTAAGAGTCTGATACACTGCAAGGCTCATGACTGAAAAGAACAGCCCATCCAACGGAGTTGAATCTGCTCTGTGGTCTCAGCTTCTGGGGTTCCATGGGGTGCACTGTCTCTGTAGAGGCCGAGTCTCTGTGCTACTGGGTTTGAGGTGGCAGATGGGGACAGACCTGTGTTTCTGCTGCATGCTATGTTGTGCCACCTTGTCATCTTTTGACTGGCAGTGGCACACATTCCCCTGGGGACAGCTAAGATCAGGCCCATGGGAAGCCACTGCTGTCTTTGTGTCCCTCTTGTGTCCTCAGGCTCTCCAGCCTCCCTGTGTCACTTTCTTTTGGAACTGTTGTCTTTGCAATGGATCTGACTCTTAAGCCACTCCTGTCTTGGCATGAAGGGGTGACCTGGAATGCCCTTCTTCTTGTCTTTTGCAGCGTATTGCCAATGATAGGGTCGTGGTGAAAAATATTCATTTTATGTGGTTTTGTTAAAAACAAAACAACCCAAATTTTTTTTTCACCAGACTCAAACAAAAAGTAATTGAATTTAAAGACTTTCTCAGGAGGCATTTCTAATTAGAGAAAATTAAGTCAAATAGGATGTTGCTCATAGCCAGTGTCATCCTTTGATTCACTGTGTAGATTTTAAAAACGTCCTTCCCTTCAGTTTCATCTCAGAAGCACCATGTCAGAAAGGCCCACCTTACCCCATGA